CACACACACACATATAACATGAATTCATGCTAATATATACAGAGATGTATCTCTGTGTGCATATGTTTAACTATGGATCTAGACTTCATTGTCAATAAAGCGTGGAGAAAAAAGTAATTGTTTGTGGAGAGGTAGGAGATGAGGGTTTAGGCACCCAGCTTTTAAAAAGTGCTTGATGTTTCTCCTAAGGAGTGGACCTAGACCCAAAAAGTTTATTTATTCTCACATGAAATAGAATATGTTAGAAATAATAGAATCTCTCTCTTTTTTTTTGTAAAATAAAATAAAAATAGAAGTTAAAAACAGAAATCTTAAACATTAAGATGTTTGTTTTTGGTGCTTATGATTTTACAAGACAGCTTATATGTAACACTTGCCTGTTTGAAAGCTTCTTTGTTTTTCTACCTACTCCGATGAAAACTAAAATATAGGATTATTAACATTTATTTGAGATCAATTCTAAATTTAATAATCAATATCCAAAGATTTCACCATTGGCAAATCAGCGAAGTCATTGAAGAAAGGTTTAAAAGCCAGCAGTCAGCAACTCTGAACCTCTTTTAATCTGTTCCCAAAAAAATGGAATCAGATTGTTTAATAAGTAAATAGAATATACCCAAATGATGGATGGCATTCCCTTCTGAGTAGTCTCTTTCTTTGTAAGATGATTTTCTCAAGAAAGTGTTTTTTGTTGTTGTTTTATTTCTTTTTCTTAAGTAGCTCCATGCCCAGCTCCAAGCCCAGCTCCAAGCCCAATGCAGGGCTTGAACTCATGACCCTGAGATCAAGAGCTGGACTGAAATCAAGAGTCAACTGCTTAACCAACTGAGTCACCCAGGCACCCCTGGAAGTGCTTTTTTTTCTTTCAAAAAGCACATTTCTATTATTGTCCATAAAGTGCTTTCTTGGTAAGTGGATTTGAATCTTGCAAACTGACAGACTTGTTTAAAACCAAGTAGGATGATAAGATTGCAAGAGTTTCTGTATTAGTCAGCTCAGGCCGCCACAATAAAATAGCATAGACTGGGTAGCTTAAACAAGAGACATTTATTTCTCACAGATCTGGAAGCTGGGAAGTCCAAGATCAAGATGCTGGCAAGACAGGTTTCATTCGGAGGCCTCTTCTTTTGGCTTCTAGGAGACCACCTGGTCACTGTGTGTTCACATGGCCTTCTCTTGGTGTGTGAGCAGAGAGAGAGGACTCTCACTCCCTTTTTAAAGACCACCAGTCCTATTGAATTAGGACCCCACTCTTATAACCCCATTTAACCTTAATTTTCTCCTAAAGGACCTATCTCCAAATATAGTTATATTGGGGATTAGGATTTCATATATGCATTTTTTGAGGGACACAGTTCAGTCCATAGCACTATCTGAATTTTTGACTCCCCAAAAGGCAGTAATTATAAAAAATAAGACTATTTTTGTGCATGTGTGCTTATGGCTTGAACAGTCCAGAATGTACTTCTAAATGAAAGCTTTAAAAAAATGTTATGTCATGCCAGCATTGTTTGAAGAAATAGCTAAACTACTTCTTTCTTGTTTTTTTTTTTTAGTCAACAAAGTAATATATTTCCTTTGCAGAAAACTGGGAAAATTAAGAAAAGAATGAAGAAGATTGAAACAATTGTATGTTATTAAAGTTCTCTGAGAATCACATTTTCCCAGTATCTTTTCTTTCTTTTTTTATTTTTTATTATTTATTTATTATTATTTTTTAAAGATTTTATTTATTTATTTTGACAGAGAGAGACACAGCGAGAGAGGGAACACAAGCAGGGGGAATGGGAGAGGGAGAAGCAGGCTTCCCGCGGAGCAGGGAGCCCGATGTGGGGCTCAATCCCAGGACCCTGGGATCATGACCTGGGCTGAAGGCAGACGCTTAACGACTGAGCCACCCAGGCGCCCCTCTTTCTTTTTTTAAAGATTCATTTATTTATTTTAGAGAGACAGCAAGCATGTGTGCAAGCTGGGGGAGGGGCAGAAGGAGAGAGAGAATTCTCAAGCAGATTCCTCACTGAGCGTGGAGGCTGACACGGACTCAATCCCAGGACCCTGAGATTATGACCTGAGCTGAAATCAAGAGTCGGTTGTCTGACTGACTGAGCCACCCAGGTGCCCCTCCCAGTACCTTTCCAAAAAAAAAAAAAAAAATACAAACATAGAATCAGAAGCACCTGGGTGGCTCAATCAGTTGAGTGTTGGATTACTGATCTCAGCTCAGGTCTTGATTTCAGGGTCGTGAGTTCAAGCCCTGTACTGGGCTCCACACTGGGCATGGAGCCTACTTAAAGTAAATAAATAAATAAATAAATAAATAAATAAATAAATAAATAAATAAATAAATAAATAAATAAATAAATAAATAAAAACAAAGAAATAAAAACAAAATGAAACCAAAAAATACCTTGGAATCATATAGCTGAGAAATGTTATGTGTCCTGATCTTTTCCATTTAAAATTATATCATGAGCATATTCCAAATCAAGTAATATATGAAAAACTTCTCTTTGAGGGATTTTTGTTACTTTCACTTCTCATTGTTGTACATAAGAGTTCATTAATCCTTGCTTTTATTTATTCATCCTTGTACATAAATATTTGTTACAGGTCTGTTTATTTCCTCAGGATAACTCTCAAAGAGAGAAATTACTAGGTCAGAAGATATTAATAATTGTTAGACATGATTCATATTGCTGAATAGCTCTCCTGCAAAACCATATCACATGAAACTCTCACATGATATTTGAGAAGGACAAGTTCATTTGCCAACACTAGCCATTACACTTAAAAACATCTTTCTCAATTTGTAAAGGAATCTGCATCTGGTTTTATTTTGCAAGTGAGAATTGACTATTTTTTTGTATCTGCTTATTCATCCTTTTCTTCTATTTGTGAATTGCCTATTCCCATCCTTTACCTGCTTTTCCTTTGAGAAAGTCTGTTTCTCTTTTCTAATTTTTTTTGTTGATGTCTTATTTTTCAACCCTTTGTTATGTAATGTTGTAATATTTTTTTTGCCACATATTCTTTTGACTCTTGATTTTGTGTATTTTATAGAAATATCCATATCTGTGTAGTAAATCTACCCATCTTATTCTGCCTGGAAGTGGTTCTCGAATTTAATGTGCATCAGAATGTCTCAGTGTGTTCATTAAAACATAGATTCCTGGGCCCTGTTGGTCGGGGTGTATTATTCATTAATTCTCTGCAGTAGCCCTACCAACTGTTGCTTGTATATAACCCAGCTGATTCTAAATGAAGTGGTTAATAAACCACACTGTGAAGCCCTGCTTTGCAGGTTCTCGCTTTGGATTAATACTTAGTTTCTCTCAGTCAGGTCACATAAATAGCTAGGTATATTTTCTTCTATTTTCTCATGTTTTCATTTTTCTACATCTATCTCTTTGATTCAGCTGGAATGTATCTTTACATTCTTTACCACAAAATATTGAGCCATTTTTCCTAGCACAATTTATTTAATAACAACCCAACATTTCCCCAATAATTTACAATTCCAACTTTACCATTTACTGCCATTTTATAAATATTTGAATTTATTGTTGAGCTTGTTTTTTCCCCATTGATTTATCTATCTATTCCAGCATACTGTTTTAATTACTCTATCCTTTAAGTATTTCTGATACTATGAAAAAATGTCCTCTCCCCATTACTCTTCTTATTCAAAAATATTTTGGCAGTTCTCACCTGTATAATTAAAAAAAATAGTTTGTCAAATTAAAATAATTAAAATATTTTTGCTGGAGTTGTATTTAATCTATAAAATAATTTGAGGAAAAATCACATTTGTTCAGCACTGTGGCTTCACTAAAACATGTATTTTTATTTATTTATAGCTTCTTTTATGGTTGCTATGGTCTGAATGTTTGTGTCCCCCCACAAAAGTCATATGTTGAAATCCTAACCCCCAAAGTCGATAGTATTAGGAAGTGAGCCTTTGGGAGGTGCTTAGGTCATGAGTGGGAATAGTGCCTTATGAAGAAGCTCTCGAGAGATCCCTTCCCCTCATGTGAGTACACACCAAGCCAGCTCTGACTCAGGAAGGGGGCCCACACCAGAAGGCATAGTATACATGTGTGATACTCAGGTACTTATCACAAACGGATAAAGATGGGTCTCATTACTTTAAAACCATACCATTTTGGTATTCTAGTGATGATGAGAAGTATCAGTAACTAAAAAAAATTTCAACAGTAGTTTAATGATCTGTTCTTTTCCTTTGTAAAATTCATGTTAAGTCTTTGTTTAGACCCTAAACTTACCAATTCTCCTGATGTGTATGCCTCAAAAAGAACGTTTCTGTTTTTACATAAAATGTTATTTTCTGGATACCAAACCATAGAATTTTTTTTTTTTTTTTAATTTTAGCTGGTTTGGGAAACCCTCATAATAGACAGCTGGATTATATCCCAATGTTCTAGTTTTGAAAAATCGTCATGGTTGGCACTGCCCAAATCCAAAATTGGTCATTGATTTCCCTCCCTCCATTTATGGAAAAAAGGGTTCACTTGAAAAATTATAAATAAATAAATACAATAAGATTTTTTTCTTGATAGTTCAGAACTTTATTAAACTGTTCAAGTTGTTCCAGAGCAGGATAAAATTCAGTTTAAAGCTGCAAAAGAAAGGAATTTGGGATGCTGAACAGAGGTGGATCCCTTCCTGGTGGCCTCCACAGCAGGCACTCCCTGCTTTGTTCTGTTTCCTCATCTTAGTCTGATCTGTAGCCTTCCCATGGACATCTTCGTCTGACTGGTTTCCTGCCCTTCACCTGGGACCAAAAGAGAGGAAGAAAGGCTTATTCTCATATTGAGGCCCCTTTGGAAGTAATCCTGGGCTGTAGGAGGTTCAGACTTCACTGCCAGCCAATGACAGCAATGGAAGAAGTGAAGGGAAAACATGCCAAAATGGAGCGTTCCAGACTTTTCCGACTCATCTTTGGGATGGGGATTTACAAAGAGGTATTTCTTATTCTTAAGGATATCATAAAAACAAGAGGAGCTAAGAAGCCTCATTGCAGCCCTCGCAGGGAACATTAGCCTAAGGAACATGGATGAAAGAATGGATAACTCTGAAAGGGTAGGTGAGGCTTCTGAATATTATTGAGTTTGGCGTGCAGCAGGGAAAGATGGCCAGTAGGTCGGCCCATGGAGCTTTCGAGAGGTTCACGTTGTAGACATGAACTAGAGAGGCTCTAACAAGGAACATGAGAATGTGAGAAACAGGGTGAAGAGTGCTGAAAAGTGTGTGGCAGGACTCCTGGAATAATATGGGGTGTTGAAAACCTATGGACAAGAGCATTTTAAGAAAATGTTGAGTGAGGGCACCTGGGTGGCTCAGTTGGTTAAGCGACTGCCTTCGGCTCAGGTCATGATCCTGGAGTCCCGGGATCGAGTTCCGCATCGGGCTCCCTGCTCGGCAGGGGGTCTGCTTCTCCCTCTGACCCTCCTCCCTCTCATGCTCTCTGTCTCTCATTCTCTCTGTCTCAAATAAATAAATAAAATCTTAAAAAAAAAAAGAAAAAAGAAAATGTTGAGTGAAGACTAAAGTTTTGCTCCACAGCATCTTGATTAGTTTCCTATGGCCGCCAACACCAAGTACTGGAGAATGGGTGGCTTCAGACAACAAAAATGTATTATCTCAGGGGTCTGGAGCCTGGAAGTCTGAAAAGGTGTTGGCAGGGCCATGCTCCCTCTGCAACCTCTAGTAGATTCCTCCCTGGCATCTTTCTAGCTTCTGGTGCTTCACTGGTGATCTTTGGGGTTCCTTGCTTATAGCTGTAAAATTCTAATTTCTTTTTTTTTTTTTTAAGATTTTATTTATTTATTTGAGACAGAATGAGAGAGAGAGAGAGCATGAGAGGGGGGAGGGTCAGAGGGAGAAGCAGACTCCCTGCCAAGGAGGGAGCCCGATGCGGGACTCGATCCAGGGACTCCAGGATCATGACCTGAGCCGAAGGCAGTCGCTTAACCGACTAAGCCACCCAGGCACCCCAAACAAACAAATCTATTCTTTTTTTTTTTTTAAGATTTTTTTTTAATTTATTTATTTGAGAGAGAGAATAAGAGAGAGAGCATGAGAGGGGGGGAGGGTCAGAGGGAGAAGCAGACTCCCTGCTGAGCAGGGAACCCGATGCGGGACTCGATCCCAGGACTCTGGGATCATGACCTGAGCCGAAGGCAGTCGCTTAACCGACTGAGCCACCCAGGCGCCCCTGTAAAATTCTAATTTCTGCTCTCGTTGTCACATGGCATTCTCCCTACTTATGTGTATGTGAATATGTGTGTATATATATATATTTAGTATTTATGTCTACATATTCACATACACATAAATAGGGAGAAACACATCTCTCTCTATATATATGTCTATATATAGACATAAATACTAAAATTTTAGTAAATCAAGATTGTTTTCTATTAATATAAACTCCTAAGCTATTCCAATCAGTATTAAAACACTGATTTGATACAGGTTTATTAGATTCTCTCTCTATAGATTTACATATATGTATGTGTGGAAATATAAAATTTTCCCATGTTTTATGCTATTTCCTCTTAATATTACACAGTTACTAAGGCAGGCAATATTGTCCTAAGATGAAAGTCTGAAATGAGGAAGGCATTTGCAGTTTATAGTCTAATATAGCTGTTTTTCCTTCAGAGTTTAGAAAATCATCTTATTTGCTTTTTCTATGATTAAGTAAAGCTGTTTTATTTTTTATATATATATATTTTTAAAGATTTTATTTATTTATTTGACAGAGAGAGACAGCGAGAGAGGGAACACAAGCAGGGGGAGTGGGAGAGCGAGAAGCAGGCTTCCTGCCGAGCAGGGAGCCCGATGTGGGGCTCGATCCCAGGACCCTGGGATCATGACCTGAGCTGAAGGCAGACGCTTAACGACTGAGCCACCCAGGCGCCCAAGTAAAGCTGTTTTATTAAAATCCTATTTCTGCCCCGAAACTTTCCAGTATAATGAAGACCTCTGAGAAGTTTAAGATTTTCTCTGCCAAATATAGTGCCTGTATTTAAGTATTTGTGAGTATATGCTGTTATATACCCTCTAAAACACTCATAGAATGTGTTTTATTTTTTATTAATGAATATTTTGATTAATTAAACATCTTCAAATTGTGCTTCACTTTAAGGTTGTTTGATTTAGAGTAGTATTTCATTTCAGTGATAACATGCATCATGAAAACACTTAAAAATGTGATCTTATTTCCTTCTCGTAATCTCTCCTCAGGAAAGTAAACAGGAACTGCCAAAGACATACCCAGGGTGTCTCAGGGGCTACTTTACTGGCTCAGTCCAACTCTCAAGTGTGCTGGCATTTTTCCTGGTAAGGACAGTGAAGTCATCTCTCTGAAGGCCACGGTGTGGGGCACAGGGAAGCCACCGCCAGGAGGAAAGCCCTTCCCTGACCAGGTTCAATATTGCCCCCAACAGGAGCATCTCTGCAATGGAAGGTTTCACTTAACCATCCAGCCGTTTAAAGAGCAGGGATGAAGTCAGCCCAGAGACAGAACTGCTGTTTTCACAAACAAATGAACAAAACAACAAAAGCATAGAGAAATCATTATTCTCTATCTATCCTCTCGGCTTTGACTTGCAGATTCTAGCTTGACTCTCACATTCTTTCCTGACGTCCTTTTCACACGGCCATGAGACCCTTTCTGTTACAGTGCCAGCCAGCTGCAGGGACTTTTCCACCTGTCTCATGACTCTTAGAGAACCTTGCCTTTTCACTGGGCTTTGAGCTGGGCAGGCTATGGTTTCTTAGGGTTAGCTTTGGAAAGGTGCCCCCTACTGGGCTTTGGTTGGTGGAAGAACTTGAGGACCCAGGAAGGGGAGCTGTAGTAGTTGCCCGTGAATGTAACCTGGACTTTTGAACCTCCCGGATGACACAGCTGCTCACCCGTCTTGTTATCAATCTGGGAATCTAGTCAAGCGATACATTCCCAGTCCCCTGACTGTCTCATGACCAGCTAGCTTGTTGGCGTTAGGCAAAGTTTAGTCCAGAAGGCCTGCCATAAAGTTGTTGACTGGACCCTGTCTCAGGAAGAGTTTAGTGTGTCCTGGCAACCTTTATCACACATCACCAACTCTGAGAGGTCAAGGGTATTATGGAGAATAGTAACGTTCTTAAAATTGACTCATGAGCCGGCCTGCGAGTACCCGACTCATCCCTGGTCTAACAGAGAGGATGTCAAATGGCCCTGTAGGCACTTCCTGAGACTCAGTGACGGGAGGGATGAGGAAGGGGTCAGTCATGTAACAGAAAGTCTGCACAAAGGCCAAGTCAGTACCAAAGAAACTGTCTTTTCCTACTTGCCCAAATGTTTCACTCAGCAGAGACTGGAGCAAAACGCAGTTAAATGTTAGAGGTAGTTTGTTCTGAAATCACTTTCTTTCACTGTCACAGGGCCCAAGCTCTCTATGAGAATCCTTCTGTTCCATTCATCATGCTTTCTTTTGAAAATGTAACTAAATGTAAGTGATGTCATTTCTACTGCTGCACTTACAAACGGGCTTTGAGTATTTAATTGTATATGATAGATGTTAATATTTCTGTGTTGGTTGTAAGAGAGGTCATTATAGTATGCAATGTAGTAAAATATTTGTTTTATGTTAAGAGAGAAATAGTCAATCATTTTTATTTACATTCTTGTGCCACTTGGGTCAGGCTGCCCTAAGAAGTTCTATTTTCTAAAGAATAAGACTATGGAATGACTTCATCAGAGATTCCAGTTACAGAGTGAAACAGATATAGCCTTAGGACTTCTGCTATGCATACCACCCTTAATTTTCTAGAACAAGACCAAAAAAAAAGTTATTATAAATAATTTTGAATAAAACCCTGATTTTTTTTTTTTTAAGATTTATTTATTTGACAGAGTGAGACACAGCGAGAGAGGGAACACAAGCAGGGGGAGTGGGAGAGGGAGAAGCAGGCTTCCCGCGGAGCAGGGAGCCCGAGGTGGGGCTCAATCTCAGGACCCTGGGATCATGACCTGAGCCGAAGGCGGACGCTTAACGACTGAGCCACCCAGGCGCCCCCAAACCCTGATTTTTTATTTTTAAAGACCTCCATGAATTTGAAATAACCAACAAAAGCCTTTTGCTCTGATAAGATACAAATAACAAAAACAAATCTACTCGTGATATAATTTTATTTTTTTTTTTAAGATTTTATTTATTTATTTATTTGACAGACAGAGACACAGTGAGAGAGGGAACACAAGCAGGGGGAGTGGGAGAGGAAGAAGCAGGCTTCCCGCTGAGCAGGGAGCCTGATGCGGGGCTCGATCCCATGACCCTGGGATCATGACCTGAGCCGAAGGCAGACGCTTAACAACTGAACCACCCAGTCACCCTACTCGTGATATAATTTTAAATGCAACTTTAAAACAAGATATATATTTTTAAAAGACTATTTTTTTTCTTATGAACAAAGAACAATGTTAACAAATTGCCTTTAGGAATTTATGTTGGTATGTGTGCATTTATTCCAATTAAAGGGAGATACAATACATCAAAAATAATGATAGAGAGCTAACTTAAGCCTTAAATATAGGTAAGGAAAGAGATTTTTATTTTTTTTAAAAAAAGATTTTATTTATTTATTTGAGAGAGAGTGAGGGAGAGAGAGCACAAGCAGGGGGAGCAGCAGAGGGAGAAGAAGAAGCAGGCTCCGTGCTGAGCTGGGAGCCCAATGCGAGCTCGATCCCAGGACACTGAGATCATGACCTGAGCAGGAGGCAGATACTTAACGGACTAAGCCACCCAGGCGCCCCAGGAAGAGATTTTTCTTCCTTCTTCTTTTTTTTTTTTTTTAAGAAGCAAAAAGGGTAGAAAGCAAAGAGGCTTTCAGTTATGAAATAAATAGGTCACATGAATAAAAGGCAGAGCATAAGTCAGTGGTATTGTAATAGTGTTGTATGGTGACAGATGGTAGCCACACGTGTGATGGGCAGAGCATCATGTATAGAGTTGTCAAATCACTGTATTGTACACCTGAAACGAATGTCACATTGTATGTCAACTATACTTCCATAAATTAAAACAAAAACAAACCCAAATTGGGTAGAAATTAGAGTGACCAGCAGGGGGCTACTTTTAGGTTTCTTTTTTTCCTTTAAATTAAGAGCTAAGCCAAAAATACATTTTACTCCTTAGTTTTATATATAAGATATAAAGTCTAAACAAAATAACTTTTTCTTCTCTTTAGTTTACTCCTCTCTTCTCCTTCCTTCCCCACCACCAAGACCTGTAACATGTGATCCCAGATTCCTGGCCACTGATGCCTCTGACCCCACCAATTAAAATTCTATCTTTCAAAACTGCTCAAGGGAGGATTTGGATGATGGGTTTCCCACCAGACATAAATTAAAATTAAATTAAGAGCAAAGGATCATATTCTGGTCTGATGATTTAAATGGTAGTGACAGAAACCTGGTATCACCCTGAACCATTTGGGAAGGACTTTCTGAAATGATGGGCTTCAATAATAGTATAAAAGGTAATGAATGGCCATGTAATATGAGATTTTAATAGTGTTGTGTTTTCCCAGGAATTTGAGAGTGTGTGAAAGGCCTCCAGAACTAATAGGCAAATTCTGATCTGTTTTGGAATATAGCTTCAAATCATCTTCCCCATTTTTGATTTGTGTGAAGCCTTACCTCCTTTTTACCTCTTTCTTTGGGCCCATTTCCTAAATGTAGGCTCAGTGAATTTAACAGTAGTACAGAACAATTCACCAGGTAGTGAATTGGAAGGTAAAATTATGTCGTATGTGTTACCCAAGTGAAATCTCAAGAGAAATTGAAACTGACCCCATGTAATGTTTCAAATAAGAATTGGGTTCTAACAGAGGAGGTAAGCAAGAGAGTTATAGTAACTTTGAAGTCAGTAATTCCTGGTTCAACACCCAATACATGAAATTATGTTAGGGTTTTGTTTTAAGTCAAAGAAAATGAAACTTTGACTGTAAGGATAACACACAACAGACTGATTTAGAGTCATGTTTCCCAAAAGGATACATAGCAGTGGGACAGGGGTTACTGAAACCAGAGGAAGAGCCTGCAGCTTCCCATTGTGCCAATTTACATGGGGATTTGGAATAAAAGAAGATGAGTGATTTAGCTGGCAAAAAGTTTTCAAATACTTTTATGCTACCTTAATAGGGCTATGTTATGAAAGAGAGTATAAAATGCAAATGATTTATCTAAGATAAAATAATTCAAGAAATTTTGAACATGCAAAGGCCTGCTATAGATTGAACCCCCACTCCCAACCCCTTCCCTAGATATATGAATTAGATAAATGCTTTGGAAGCCAAACTACCAGATTTCTCATCTTGGCATAGTGGTTGATTGATGTCAGTTATCTTTTCATGCATCAGTACAATTGGTCCCAGCTTTTAACACAATCGAGGAATTCTTATAAAATTAGGATTATAGAGTTGAATATTGCTTTAAACTGTTTGTGTAGATAAACTTAAGAAAAGTGTGTTTGTTCCAGTCTTGGGATCTACCTGAGAGGAAAAGAGGGAGGGGTTGGAAGCAGAGATATCACAACTACAATGAGAATATAACTGTGATTTATATGTGCTTGCATAGCTTTGTCTTCCACCAGACCTTACTTCTCAGGGTTATCCTTCAAAACAGGGAAAGGATGTATTTTTATTACTGGATGATTTAACTAGTGTCCAAGATTATGACTTATAACCTTGAATTTTAAGACTATCTATGGGCATAATTGAGCCTAAAATGTAATAGTTTCCTTCTCTGGTCCTAAAATAAGAAAAGAATTCTGTTATCTAGTTATGGTTTATAAAATAATTCCTGGGAATGATATCACTATACAACTTATTTGATCCAAATTACACCTCAGTATCCATCAGTACCACTATCCTAAGGAAAAGATGCCCTTTGATATTATAAGGAGCATCTGATGAGCATTGAAGGAAATATGCAAAAATAAATCCCCTTTCTTTTAAAAAATGCTGTATCACTCTCCCCTTCTTTTAATTTTTTTTCTTTGCTCTTTTTATTTCTTTTTCTTCTGTGAATGGGAATAAAGAGTGTAAGTTAATGGATGTAATCATGCATTCATTGAACATGGCTATCTCTCAAATTTTTCTCGCCTTGTTACTATATTGTTTTGGAAAACTTTGACAGAAAATAATAAGAGGAAAATGAATGAAAGATCAGTTAGTTGCATGGCACTAACTTTTAATTAAAATACGGCTAATTTTTTTTTCAGGTGTAGGCTATTCATATCCAGTTACACAAAGCCTTATTGTCAACGAAGAGGTAGCTGGTTTTCTTCCTTCCATATTCCCTCTTCATCCTTGGTATATTTGCTAGTAGTTTGTCCTGGAAGCCTCCTAAAAAACAAACAACTCTATACTCAATCAATTATATGCTGAAAAAGAGCCTTAGAGATTAATGATAAATAGATTGTATTAGTGACTCCAATTTTTTGTGGAAAATTATTTCATGCCTTTTGGAAGCAACCTGCCACTCTGATCCTAACTTGGCTGGCTGACTTATTTTGACCAATGGACTTATAGCCTACTTGATGCAAGCAGAGGCCTGAAACACACTTCTGCATTTCTGCTTCCTTTTGTGGAGCCCTGTCCTTGCCCTGAGACTATGCCCTGGCTATCCTGCAGGAGAGATATAAGAGGAGTCCAATGAAGGAGAGCCAAGTTTTCCCAGTGATGCCATCAAGATTGGCTAACCACACTGACTGGTCAGCTGATAAAGTTGCATTAGTGGGCCTAGCTGAGAACAGCCAACCCATTAGTTGAAGGAAGGAATAAGTGGATTTTGTCTTCAGCCATTAAGTTTGGAGCAGTTCATATGCAGCATTGGCTGATTCATACAGGATGTTTTGTTTCAGACTTCCATTGTAGAGGTGAGAAAACTGAGGCTGGGGTTTACATTTTCTCCAGCTTTATAGAACTATTAAACCTCCCATGTGTTAGAGTTGATGGTGGGAACTCTATTCCCACATTATGTAAAAGCCCAAATACCTAATTATTGATAAACTATTCAATCCTTACCAGATAATTCCAGTTAATAACATAGTAAATGATGTTGCCTAGAATTGTTTTGGTCAGTATTATATGTAAGGTTAAAGATTTTGTCAAAACTAAGCAATGTATTGCATTGCAGAAATTGTGATTTCTGTGGAGTTACTCTCTTGTGCAATGGAAAAGCTTGTTAGTGTGCTGAATTTGTAGTTGCATTTGATGCTTAAGGGGTTAACCCTGTGAAGAACATTACAGCTGTCATCTAGAGACTGGACTGGTTTCTAATTGATTTCAAGTTGCAATTCAAATTGCTGTCTTTCATATATAACAACTACGTTGTTTTAACTCTTGACTCAAAAACTACTGGAACTAAATTCCTAAACTTTGGTACTGAACAAATGTTACTCCGAAATATTTGTAAAGGTAATAGCACATGAGTTAGGATGGTTCTTTTCAATTATAACTCAAGCTTTCAAATCTAAACTATGAAGCATTCTACTGTATACTTCTCTTATTGCAATATATTTGGATTGAGAAGTAGAGATTCAGAATTGTTTTCTCTTCTGATAGTTTGATGTTTTTGAATGTGATTTCCTTTTATTAAATGTATTCCTTATTTTCTTTAAAATTCTTAATATTTTGATCTAGTGTATTATTAATTATGTAATTTTTCTTCTTTTTGGTTTGGGAGGGAGGAGATGATTAAAACTCCTTTCATGAATTTTTCTTTCTTCTGATACTGCCATGCCTTTAAGGACTAGGTTTTTAAAACTTACAGCACTGGAGTTGATTCACTCTGATTTTCATTTATTTATTGAGTGTGTGCCTTTGTGCCAATATTGCAGTGTCATTAATGTAACACAACAAATCTGTATTTATGCTTTATATTAAATATATAAATTAAGTTGCTTTCTCTACTCTTTCTCTCTGCTAGCTTAGGTTAGTTTTTTATGTGTGTGATAATATTTAAAGAATTTAAAGGGAAAATATGTAAAAAAAAAATAGTTCAATGAATTACAAATTACAATGTAGTTCAATGAATTACAAATTTAGTATCTCAGTTTCTGTGGGTCAATAATCAGGAGCAACTTATCTCGGTCTTCTGCTCAGCATATCCCACAAGCTACTATTATGGTTCATCCGGGGCTGTAGTCTAATCTTGAGGCTCAACTGAGGAAGGATCAACTTCCAGCCTTAGTCATGTGGTTGCTAGCAGAATTTAATTGTTTGCAAGCTCTTGGGCAGAGGGTTTCATTTCCTCACTGACTGTTGGCCAGAGGTCAGCCTCAGTTCCTTGACACATAGACCTCTTCAACATGGGAGCTTACTTTGTCAAAGCCAGCAAGAGAGAGAATCTGCAACCGAATCACTTAAGTGACATCTCATCACCTTTGTTATACTATTCATGAGAGCAGGTCACTAGGTCCAGCCCACATTCAAGGAGTTCACACAAGAGCATGAGATAGGTGGTAGGTGGTAGGGATCATTGGAGAACTTCTTAGAAGTCTGCCTAGCATAACAGTCCAATTGTCTTAAAGTTGTCTCCCTTTCATATATACATCTTTAAACTTAATTTTTCTTACCTACATTTGATTACATATACTGTAACATCACAGACAAATGAGATCATTGTAATATACACCACAAAATTATATAAAATTTGCATGAAGTGCTTAAGCATTCAGTTTCTAGAGTACTCTAGCAGCATTAGTGAAAATGTGGGGTGTTCAATAGTGTGTTGGGGCACTGATTTCAGGTTTCATTTTACCTGTGAGCTTCACTTCTATAAAAAGAAAGAGTGGGTTATATCTTTTTGTTCTGCTCCAATGTGGGTCCAATAAAATACAGAAAACAATACTGAAAAATAGAGAGCTGCTAAAGACCAGCATGATCTGCACTTGTAGTTGCTATTTCACACAATATAGGAGAAACAAATTTCTTAAATTCTTAGTTGTACATAGCTTCACAACAGCTAGAACTATAGAAAGAGTTAATAAAGATTTTTTATATGACATTTAAATGTGAACAGTTTCAGCTATTGAGAATTCTCTGTAATTAACTGTATAGGTTCTGATAAAATAAGGAACTGATCATCCCAACACAAACTGGCATGGAAGAGCAGAGCAGACTCTACATTATGAAAGAATAGAATCTACACCAGGCCAGGCCAGAAGTATTTCTCTTCACCTTATTTGATCACGGTTTTTTTATCAACTCCTTTGTATAATGTTGAGGCAGACATTACTAATCCTCATCAATATCCAGTTCTTTCCCTCCAAGCTCATGGAAAATTAGAATTTATAGAAGTTTTTCTGTTATGCAGGATCATGTGACTTTCTGACCGAAGGATCATAAATCTGAAGTGATATGTGTCATTTTCTAAGCCAAAGTATAGAAAAGTGGGTCTGAAAGCTTCATGTACTTTCTTCCTTCTGCTGCAGCAACCAGTGATTTTCAAATGGTGGAGTCTCTGTCAGTGTGAGTCCTTGACTGACCATGTAAAGGAAAGCCCCTGCACAGTCCAGTGATGGACATGTGCTATGTCTAAAGTGATAAATTTTTTTCTTATAATGTTCTATTTTTGCTGTAGCAGATTACTCAAACTAAGAGGCTTAAAGCAATGCAATTTTTTATCATATACTTATAGAGGTCAGAAGTCTTAAAATCAATGTTTTGTTAGGGTGTGTCCTTACCAGCTGATTTGGACAAGAACCCATATGCTTGCCTTTTCCATATTCTAGAGGGCACTTACACTCCTCACCTTGTGGTCCCTTCCTCCATTTTCAAAGCTATCAGCATAGCATCTTCAAATCTCTGGTCTCTGTCTCTTCTTTTCTCTTTTTCTCTCCCTTTGTTCTCTGCTTGCATCTTCACATTTCCTTGTTTGACTCTGACCCTCCATGCCTTCATATTATAAGAAATTCTTGTGATTACATTGGTGCATCCAGATAATCCTGTGTAATTTTCCTATCTCAAAATCCTTAACTTAATCTGCAAAGTCCCTTTTGTATGTAAAGCAACATATGCATGGGTTCTGGGGATTAGGATATGGACATAACTGGAGACATTTAGCCTACCATATCTTTGAATTAAGGGATTTATGTGTTACTGCAGCATAGCTTAGTGTATGCTGAATAATACAGAAGCCACTAGAATTTAATAACAGAACTTTATTGTGTATTAACTATAGTATGAGTATGCTTAAATTAGCTATTTAGTGGATTCAACTAGTCTCAATTTTTCTTTATATTTATGAGGTTGCAAATTACAGAACTGGCTTATAAAAGATAGGTACAAAATGCACAACACTGATAATTAGGTATCACTTTTAGGTTTCTGGCTTCTAGAGTTGCCAGAAAAGATAAACACCAAATAAAAGAAAAACAAACTTTATTCCTATTTGTGTTTTTAATATTACACATTATTTATTATATAACTATATCTGAAGGAATTATAACATAACTTAGGATATTATGTAAATGATCTGAAATGATAATGAAAATATGGTTCTAAAGTCTATTTCATGATTGCAATCACCACATTTTGTTTATTAGGTTGTTCTCCTATCTGGACAAAAAGACTTTTTACTCTGCACATGATATCTTATGCTTTGCTCCCCACTGTGTAATTACTTTCAGCTGTATTATTATTTCATGTTCTATTAGGTAGAATCTTATGATATGGAAGGGCTCATTAATTTTTTTTTTTTTTTTGCATGTGTGAGTAGTTATGCTCAAGACACAGGCAGATCAAGACATATGATTAGGGTACATGCAGCAAGAGTGCAATTGAAATTTTATGGGTTCAGACCTTATCTCATGTAAGAGAGGAAGCTAATGGGTATGGAGCTTGCCTCAATTTTTATCTTTTCAGCTCCAGAAGACTATTATTATATTTTTTGAAGATTTATTTATTTATTTGAGAGAGAGAGAGAGAGCATGAGTGGGGGGAGGGGCAGAGGGAGTGGGAGAGAGAGAGAGAATGTCAAGCTGACTCCATGCTGAGTGCAGAGCCTGATGTGAGGCTTGATCCCATGACCTTGAGATCATGACCTGAGCCAAAACCAAGAGTCAGATGCTTAGCCAAATGAGCCACCCAGGTGCCCTTCAACTCCAGAAGATTATTAATTCAATCATTAATTTATTAATTAATTCATCTATTTATCCTTTCAACATTCCTTCAGTATCCACTAGGGTGATATTGTAGTTTATTTATAAGAATATAGGCTTTGGAGACAGATTGACACTTAAGTTTTTATTTCAGCTTCACTACTTATCAATTGTATCAACTTGGGCAAATATGGCCCCTCTGACCCTTAGTTTTGCCATTTATAATTATGATAATAATGTCTATACTTAAGGATTATTGTGAAAAGTAGAGATAATATGCATCAATACTTGGTAAATTATAGGCATTCAACAGGTGATAATAGGTCGTTGAAACAGTAGTTATAATCTGCCAGAAATTGGGATGCAAAGATGAAAACCCCAGAACCCCTACCTCCAAATAACTACAGAAGGAGCAATTAACCACAGTGCAGAATAGGGGTATGACCAAGCTATGTATCAGAGAAAAGAGAATAATTTAGTCTTTGGGAAGTTCATAAAAGGGTTCACATGGTAGGTTACATTTGAGGTGGTTAGGAGAAATGAATTAGGCATCTGAGAGAATAGACATAGGGGCAATATGTGTAGTTACAGCAAATATGAAAGAACAGGGAACATACAAGAAACCTCAAGTAATTTGGTTTGTCTAGAGCATAGGACTTTCCAAAACTCCCTCCTTCACCATCTTGCTCTTTCAAGATTCAGGTGTAGCATCACCTGTCTATGAATCTTTCCCTAATATATGTGGCTCAGAAAAATCACCTACTCTTTCTCTC